ATCAAACCAGAGTTTCGTACATGTGCGGCACGTGCTCTACCAATAAACTATATCACAGCCCCTATAAATTAAACTGCAACAAAGGGATCAATGTATAAAGAGGAAAAAAATACCCAGGACATTTACAATTCAGTACTATGCAGTTTCATGTATTCATAGGAGTTTTTGGACCATATCCCATTACCACTCTGTCACAGAGAGAGGATTATGTATTTAACACTCATAGGGACTGTACTGATTTCTAAAACAATAGTATGTTGAAACTTTTTGTAATACATTCAGTGTTTTCTGTGAAAGAAATCATGCACATCAAACCCCCCTAATCAAATAAAGTGAAAGGGTCCTAGGATGTGACAAGGGAGCATCTAGGTAGAAGATGTCCTTGTACCCCAGTTATCCAGGACCACTGGTATTAATCACACAAGTCCGATTACTAGTGTAGACTATTACTAGAATCCCCAAGGCAAAAAAAAACACATAAATGTTATAGCTTAGAAATTCCACGTTCCGTCAATATTGCTATTTGTTCATCCTAAGTACTTCCAGTAACCAAAGCTAAGTTTTGTTCAGAACAAGTGCCTCTCCAGAATATCTTAAGAAATCAGTCTTATCTAACTTTCCCCAAGGCCAGATTTTCCAATACATACCAGACCCATTTACATCCCTATCCACGGAGAGTATCAGTCTGAACTACTACTGCTTATTAGCAAACACCTTCCCTCCTTTAGCCAAGACATTCTGCTCCATTAGTCTACACAATTTTCTGCCACACACATGACTCGTGCTGATAGCAATGGGCCTCCAATTTCCTCGAACAATGGTGTAGTCTAGCCCCTGTGCTAGTTGAGGTACGTCTGCATCGTAGTTGACTGTCAAATCCTACAACCATACAAAAGTCACCGTCCAGTCATAATTATTCCATTTGCCTAAATTTCAATCACATTGTTTTGAACTTATCTTTTTTTTCTCAACACCCACTGCAAATGTTCATATCTTTCACAACTCGCATCACCAGTTTACCTAGAAAGCAGATTTGTAGCTGTTCAACCCTCATCCAAGTCAAGAATGATTGCACCTTAATCTTTGCCTGTCCTCGAGACCTTGACAAGGACAAGTATCACTTCTTTACATTCATTAGAAAATTATCACTTACCGCACTTAAAACACATTTACTGAGAGATAGTTCATAATAGCAGTGGAAGGCTCCAAAATGACATAGACATTAGAGGTATTTCTGACAATAAAGATAAATCTAAAAGGACTTCAAGATTTTTATTCTAAACACCATAAAATTTAGATATTCTTATTTATTATGACATTTTATACTGTAAACCCCTCATTTAGAAAGAGATGGCAAAGAGGTGGTTTCCCCGGGAAAATATGAAAGTATGAGTGTAAATTTCACTGGTAATGTGATTTTTATGGAATTATCACTTTTCAAAGTTTGAAACACTTAGAGAAATCTGGTCATACTTACAAGTTAAGAAATACAAGTGGTTATTACATCTGTTAGTCATCCAACTTTGAAACAAAATTCTCTAGTATTTCTTCATGCTCTGGATTAGTTCAACTGAAATAATTTCTGAGGCTGAGAAGTGAACCATTAAGGGGGCAATTTCTATTGCATCTACAACCTAAATTCAGATTTTCTACAAATTGAGCTACAAAATAATTTTTTTTTAAAAAATCACTTAAATGAAGTCACAGTATCTCTAAACCAAAACCAAGTGCATATTTCTGTCCATTACGGCCATCCCATTATGTGTTTACACAAAGTAACTAAAAATTTTCTAGTTTACCTCTAGTTAAGAGAATTTAGTCCTTAAAACTCACTGAGACCAAAGATACAGCTCAAAAAGATGAGTGTGTGCTTCACATTGATATTCAGGAGGCTCCTATTTGATCTCCAACACTACCAGAGGTCTCAAGGTCTAAGCCAGTAGTGATTCCTAAGCACCACTTAAACCACTTCAAAATTCACTTTCTCAAAAATAAAAATCACTTAGAGTAAGCATTTTGTGCCATTTGCTCAATTTCTACTGTAAAAATTCATTGCCTTTCTCTCATTAAAGCTCTCCACACACACTTTTCACAGAAAATACCTCAAATTTGTAACAAGCATTCTTCCATATATAACAAATGTTGAAACCTAAAAAAGGGTGTTTACCATAAAATTAAAAGCTCTCTAGTACTCATCCCACTTAAGTTTTTCCTAAACTACATAAACATCCTATGAGTAGACTTTCTCATAGTAAACCCAATAGTGAAAGTTTCTTCCCACACAATTTTTGTGAGAATATAGTATATAAAATTTTATTTCTACATTAGTAAAAAAAATTACCTCATCCCATTGCACTCCAATACAATATCCTGCTTCTAACAAAAGTCAAAACATTGAGAATTGTTCTCAAGTTAGTGCAAGAATTAGGAAATCTTTTGAAAACAACCACTGGAAAACTGCAATCAGCTGGGCATTGTTCTAAACATTTTACAAGTATAAGCTTATTCTTCAATCCTAACAATCCATGGGGTTGACTTTTTTAATCCCATTTACAAAGAAAAAAAGCCAAAGTACAGAGAACTTAAAATAACAGTCACATATCTGATAGGGAGAAAATCCAGAATTTGAACTTCTGAACTGTACCACCTAAATGTCCATTCCATTATTAATTAGGAATCCAAAGTTATTTAAAAAGGAAAAAAAGACACTTTTTTTTTTGGTCACAAGCTACATGGAATATCAGGTAAATATTTTAAGCTGTAGTTACAAATCTAAGACTTTGAGTAATAAAACCAAGCGGAGGAGTTGTATACAAGGAGTAAACTCCCATCCAGAACCTCTGGCATGAATTATGGCTGAACCAATAAATTTAAAGTATACGTTCCTGTTTAACTGTCTGGCAAATACTTTCCAAAAGTCAACTACAGCTTGCCCCCAAGTAACAGATCTTCCACAGTGTGATTTCAACGTGAGTGTGAAAAAACATTCCACAAAAATCATCTGGCAAAATGACCTGGTCTGGACATAGCAAGGTACAAGGCCTCTGGGAATTAAAGTAGATAGTGTCGGGGCTGGTGCGATAGCATAGCAGGTAGGGTGTTTGCCTTGCACGTGGCGGACCCGGGTTCGATTCCCAGCATCCCATATGGTCCCCTGAGCACCACCAGGAGTAACTGCTGAGTGCATGAGCCAGGAATAACCCACGTGCATCGCCGGTGTGACTCAAAAAGCAAAAAAATAAAAAAGTAATAAATAAATAAAGTAGACAGTCTCACGGCCCAAGGACTGATACTTATTTTTTTCCTTAAGCGGATCTCACTAAAGATACACAAACTTAAATTTCCACCCTCTCACAGAGGGGCACTGAACACAGCCAGGACAATAACAACCAATGACAAGGCCGTGGGGGAAGAAGCACTTATTTAGACAACTTCAAAACGCAAAGGAAACGGAGCGACAACAGGTTTATACACAACCCAACAGATGTTCATGACATTACAGTGACAAACGGTTGGAAATAATGACGATGCATCATCAAAAAGTGTACACAGGTGTACACCTCATGATGATCCAAACGAGAGGTGTAAAAAATTCTGATACTACCCAACAGGAAAAAGACGGGGTGTTTCACGATGATTTTCATCCAAAGCAGTCACTGCAATTTTGCAATCTGGTGCTGAAAGGTCTAACTAAGCCTTCGATCACCCAGTTAACCAATCAGAAATGAACTCACTTTAGAGTTCCAGCGAACACTTGACTGTTTATGAGTCTCGTGTGCAGAGACGTTGCCCCGAAGTTACTTGAAAGCAAATGGGAGATGGGGGAAACCTCCAAGTAGGAAAATTGAAGAAAACACACCAGGGCGGCTTGAAACTTTTCCCCACAATGCAGTGAAGTGGGCTGACGGTGCCACATCAGCAGGGCTGCTTGTGTTTGTCCTGCTTCCAAATCACGTTTGGTTTTCATAAATTATTAAAGTCCGGCTAGTTGCACGCTGATATCAAACAGTTATCAGTTCCCTCCCGATTTACTCTGCAAAACCAACACTTGCGATTCCCCTTAGAGAACATGCCTGAAGGTGGCTCAAGTCCACGCCGACCCTGCACCGCACCTTTTTTGCAGGTTTTTTTTTTTTGATTTGGCAACGCGACTCTCTCAAAGTGTTGTGTTTTTTTTTATTATTATTATTTTAAAAGGATTTAGGGCCACAATGCCTAGACCACACCGAACCTGATTATCAAAAGAACTGTTGCAGTGCGCAACAAAACGCCCTTTCAAGCCAGGCTGCAACACACAAGTCAGCCCCGGGGAGCCCCAAACAAAACTTAAAAAAAGGCACGCAGTCCAGTCCCCGACACCCAGAGGCCTTGGACTTTTCTCTCTCTCTCTCTCTCTCTCTCTCTCTCTCTCTCTCTCTCTCTCTCTCTCTCTCTCTCTCTCTGGGAGCAAGGAAGTCTTCACCCTGAACAGGAAACTGTGTCTCCAAGGGCTCCGCGCTGGACCCCCAAGGAAGCGCTCGCCCCCCCACCCCCCACCCCCGGCCGCCCGCCGTGGAAGAGATTTCCTCCTCGCCGGACGGTTCCATCCGTCCTCCCGGTGGACCCGAATGTCCCCACCGGCCGAGCTCCCCGAGCACCTGATTTTCGGGCGGCGCGCTGGGGGTTCGGAACCCCCCACAGAGCGCGCTGCCAGATTTAAATTTTTTTTTTTTAAGAAGTTTGGGGGAAACGCTACTTTGTGGAGTTTGTGCAACTTTGGCGTCGTCGTCGTCCCACCCCCTCCGGCCCCTCGCAGGGGAGCAAGCTCGGGACTTTCCCTTCAGTCCCGAGCACCCACCCCCACCCCGTTCCCCGCATCTCCCCCCGCCAGCGGGAAGGCCGAAGCCCACCCCCAACTCCTCGTCGAGGCGGGGAACTGCAGGGCGCCAGCCGACGCGGCGGGGAAGCCCCGCGAGGGGCAACGCCTCCCCGGCGGGGAAGCGCCCCCCAGAGTCGCTCACCCATGCTGGGGGCGCCCGCGGCGAGGGAAGCCCGACACCAGCCGCTCGTCCTCGTCCTCGTCCTCGTCCCGCTGCTGCTGCTGCTGCTGCTCCACGCGCGGCCGCTCCGGCCCCTCCTGAGCTCAGGCGGGGCGACTGGGCGCCTCCATCCGCCCGCGGCGATCCCGCGTCAGTGCCGGCGGCGGCGCGGTCGCTGAGGAAAAGGCGACGGCGACAGCGGCGGCGGCGGCGGCTGCTCGCGCCCGCCCACCCGGCGGCTTCGCCTCCGCCTCGGTCGGGCCCGGCACAGGGGGCGGGGCCTGCGGCTTCGATCGCGGGCGCCGGGTCCAATCGGGAGCGCCGGCCGAGCCCCAGAGCCCGCCCCTCGCTGGGAAGGTGCGGGGAGCGGCGCCGGGGTTTGGAGGCAAATCTCGCGAGAGCCCTTCCTTTGCCCCGCCCAGTCCCCGCCTTCGGCTACCCGATCTCCCTCCGCGCGCGTACGCTCACACACACGCACACACACGCGCCCGTCGCCCCATTTTCCCCCCCCTCCTCTTCCCCCCCCTCCCTGCGGATAGTGCCAGGTGCGGTGACGTCACAGCCGGGGGTGTTACCCAGCCTGCCCCAGTCCAGGTGCCGCGGACGGATGCGGCTGGTCCCCGGCGCCCGCGGTTCAGCACAGCTGGGCCGGGCGTTGTTGGCAGCTTGGTGGCCTCCGATGGACACAAAGGGGTTTTTTGCTGATTGGCTGCGGTGGGAGCTGCGGTTGCCCTACTTTCTGCGGCCGTGCTGCCTGGTGGCTTTCTGCAGAAGTGCAGACTGATAGAGAACGACAAGGAGAGGGAGAGCGAATCTCAGCTCCTTGCAAAAGTTTCCTATGAATCAGAAGCATTTCTTTTTTTATGGGGGTGGAGGGGGGGGAGACACAAAATATAAGTTTTACTTTGCAGGAAGACACGACTTGGCTCCTTGAATCGGTCTGCGGAAAACTTTATAAATCCTTTTATGGGCGTATAAATCCTTTTAATTCACTTAGAAATAATCCTGATTTGAAATATTCCCAGGGATATTTTTCTAAGCCTGGAAAAACAAATGGGGGTGAGGCATAGCTTCGGAAATGGACGTGAGCCCTTCTTCAAGTCCAAAACAAGTCAAATGAATTCAGCTAGCTTTTCTCTCTCCTCCTCTCTCCACGCAATTCCTGGACGGATTGCGTGGAAATAATACGTGTTGAATGACAGCTACTGTGTCTGAGCTTTTTAGAAAAATTATGTCATTTGATTCTCAAAATATCCAATACCAAAACTGCCCTGCCCTTTTGGATCTAGTCCGACCTGGATTTCTGAAAGTCTCAGCACAGCCATTTAAATTCTGTGGGTCCTTGGATAAATTAACCTGACTGAATTTCAGTTTCTTGAGTCTGTCGGAAGAAATCTTTCTTTGCAAAGCTCACTATCTGGCAAAAATAGCAATCTTTTAAATATACATCCCTGCAATCTCCTATTGACTGGCTTTTGTCCTCTTTTAGTCCTTTTATTACTTCTAAAAAGTTGAGCTTGGTACTTTCATAATAAGTCTTGGCTGGTCATAATCATGCTAAAAATAGAGAAAAAAGAGAACTTTTAATGTGCAAGTCTATACAAGATGAACCTGTTATGTTGTACTGAAACTTTGCTCTTTGTTTCAGTCAGCAAACATCGAAAATTATGCCCTACGAACAAATAAGGGTGGGGAAGAGAGTTGAAGTAGAGACCTCTTAGATTTGCTGTCTATGGGGAAATGAGACATGAACATACGGTTTATTAAAGGTAGTAGAGGTCAAATGCTTAAGTAAGTCGTTTTAAAAGAAATAACTTACTGTGGGTGTGGCACGCTTCAGAGAGAAGGTATAAACTAAACTGGAATGTGAAGGAAAGCAGTAATTGCAGTCAGGAAGAGTGCAAGAAGTCAAGGTGTCTATTCAAACTAACCATTCTGAGCCTTGAAGAAATTTCAATGGTCCCTGCAGCCCCTAAAAAAAGATTTAAAACTTGAAATGATAAAGCTGAATGGAAGCAGAAAAGGATTCAGGGAAGAAGATGAAAGTATGATATGTTGGAAGAGAACGCAGCCCTAGGTCTCTAGGACCCTAGACATTTAAAGAAGAATGAAGAGACATTAAAAGGAGAGAGAGAGAGAGAATGGGGAAGAAAAGATACCTGGATTACCATTGAAAGTGTAGTTCAAACATATTTAAAATCTATGTAACAAAAGTTAAGCCAAGGTTTCAAAAGATAAATGAATAAGAAAGTAGAAACCACAAGTATTTTTTTAATCCAAAAGTTAAATCACGGGACTGGAGTGATAATACAGCGGGTAGAGTGTTTGCCTTGCACAAGGCTGACCCAGGTTCGACTTCCAGCATCCCATATGGTCCCCTGAGCACCACCAGAAGTTACTCCTGTATAGACAGGAGTAACCCCTGTGCATCACCGGGTGTGACCCCCTCCACAAAAAAAAAAGTTGAATCACATGAACTAATGAGATAAAATGTTTGCAATCAGTTCTATCCTAAAGGTTCTAGGAGTTATATCATTTCTATAATACACCATGTCTTATTGAAGTTTAAAAATTAAAATGAGCAAAACTATTTTACAAGTTTAGAGGACAATAGGCCATTGATATAATGTTGAATTATAAAAGAAAACGGAGGGATCAGGAAACAGAATCATAAGAAAAGTTGAGAAAACTAACAATCACAATTCTAAAATTAATGTTGTGTTTCAAAGGCAACTGCAAAGGAAGTCCCATGCAATGAAATCTAGAAACTGTTTTTGAACTTAGAAAATAGTATACAGATTTATGTTTTGAGCTTCAGATTGATTACTACGCAAATGTGATTTCTCCATGGAACTGTTTTATAAGTCTCCTCAAGTTTAGAGATCTTCAAAATATGGAACTATATTATGCTGACACTTAAAACATTGCATTCCTCAGGAACAAATATTATTTGGAGGACAAAATTTAAAAAAAAAAAAAAGAGAGAGAAGATAGGGGCCAGAGAGATAGTATAGTGGGTAGAGCACTTGCTTTGCACACAGCCAACCTGGATTCCATCCCCAACATCCCATATATTCCCCAGAGCCCACCAGGAATAATTTCCTAGTGCCAAATCAGGAGTTAAACCCTGAACATCTCTGGGTTTGGCCCAAACTCCTATCACTCCCCCACTTCCAAATACCCACACTCCCTCCTCACACACACAGAAGATAACCTCCTATTTATAGTATATTTAGATAAAGACCCAATTTCTGCTAAGAACAAATTCCCTTTTGCCTTTCATTCTTTTGTTAATATAGTTTCTTTTCTATTCATCTATCTTCACATTTCTTTGTGATCCCCGCAAATGTCTAATAGCCCTCTGATCACTACCCCCCTTTTTTTGTTGAATTCAAAGTAGAAGACAATCTTTGGAAGAAATACGTCATTTTCAGAGAAATATATTTCATGCTAAACAGTCCATCAGAAAATATCTATATTGAAATCACTATCCTGAGTTCGATTCCTCCCTCTTGAGAGCCTGGCAAGGTACCGAGAGTATCTCGCCGACATGGCAAAGCCTGGCAAGCTACCCGTGACGTATTTGATATGCCAAATACAGTAACAGTTGTCACAATGGAGACATTACTGGGCCCGCTCAAGCAAATTGATGAACAGCAGGAGGACAGTGACAGTGACAGTGATCTTCTTTGCTCTAGTGGGGCTGGAGCGATAGCACAGCGGTAGGGTGTTTGCCTTACAAGCGGCCAACATGGCCCACCCGAGTTCGATTCCTCCGCCCCTCTCGGAGAGCCCGGCAAGCCACCGAGAGTATTCGATATGCCAAACACAGTAACAACAAAGTCTCCAATGGAGACGTTACTGGGACCGCTCGATCTTCTTTAGTAAAAATTATTCTAATCTGGATGATCATGCTGAAGAAAAATTAAATATTGAAATGTGTGTTATTTTTAAAACATTCCTATTGCTCACTTCTTTTGAGCAATGAATTCCCTTTTGTTTCTTTATTCTTAGTTCACGATGCTAAATTTCCTGCCACTTTCCTTGTTATCTTGTTTTGACTTTTCTTCTTATCTTATTTGGACTTGGCTATCTGTCTGAAGCAAAAATTACATCAATAGATAACCTGAAGTTTAAAAATCATTCTTTCCCAAACAGTTGCAGGAAATCATAATCTTAGTCATAGTGCCTAGACTATGAGGTCACTGAAGCTGAAAAATCTCCCTGCTTAAATTGGTGACCCAGTAACTTACAGCAGAATTCTTTTGTTCTGCTGACAACTTGGGGGAAATGTTCAAACAGAGTACCCCCCTAAACACTTTTCATAATTGCACTTAGAAGTTTAATGTTTAAAAAAGATAAGTCCGCTCAAATGACTCACCACTTTGCCAACAGAAAAGACCTTTTTGGGGTCAGGAGAGATAGTGGAGTACAGCGAGTAGGGTGCTTGCTTTGCACACAGCAAACCTGGGTTCGATCCCTGCACCCCATATACCCCTATCCCAGCACCACCAGGAGTGATGCCTGAGCACGAGGCCAGCAGTAAACCCTGAACACCAATGAATGTAGCCCATAAGGGGAAAAAAACCTTTTTTTATTTTTTTATTTATTTTTATTTTTTTATTAGTGAAAAACCATGAGGTACAGTTATAGACTTACAAATTTTTGTGCTTGGGTTCCAGTTATACAATGATCAAGTACCCATCCCTCCACCAGTGCCCATCCTCCACCACCACGGGTCAAAGCATCCCTCCCACCCCCCACCCCCCTCATCCCACCCTGCCTCTGTGACAGGGCATTCCTCCTCGTTCTCTCTCTCTTCTTTTGGGTCCCGTGTTTTGCAAGAGTGGCAGTCATGTTTGGTCTATAGTCTACTTTCAGCATGCTTCTCCCACCCTGGGAGGATCCTCACAACACCCTTTATTTGGTGCTCTCTTCTCTATCTGAGCTTCCTTTTCCCCTAGCACGTGTGGCTGGCCTCCAAGTCATGGAGCAAGATTCCTGGTACTAATCTCAGCCATTCCTGGGTGTTAGTCTCCCATTTTGTTGCTTTATGTTCCCCAGATGAATGCAATCTTTCTGTGTCTATCCCGCTCTTTCTGACTCATTTCGCTTAACATGATACTTTCCATGTAGTACCACTTGTAT